TGAGAGTCGTTCATAGTGAGATCTACTATTTTTCATATATTTACAATCATGGAATTTAAATATAGTTAATATAAAATTTAAAGACTTATTAAAATACTGACTGACCTTCAAATCTGTTATTATATGCGTACACAATACTCTAAGGCACTATAAACAAAGTTATACTTCGGTATTTAAAGACTTGTTTTTTTTTCTTGATTCAATTTTCTACTTTGTTGCATTTTACGCTTTACTAAAGAATTATTTACAAACAAAGAGAATACATAGCGTATACACATACATTTTTTAGTGTCGTACGATAATAAATTTAATTTACTCTACCTGGTTAACTATTAGAAACAATTGCTATTACATTCTATCTTTGTTCATACATTTACTCTTACTATTATTGTTGTTGTGACCTTGTGGCACCTACTTTGAATTACTCTAAAATTTTCATGTCTATAATAGTCATTTTTTATTGCATTATATAAATAGAGAGGCTTCTAAAATTATTAATGAAAATTGTCATGTAAATTTATTTAAAATTATGAAAATGATATTTTTGTTCTGATAAAGGAACCCTCTTAGTTTGTGGTGCAAAATTTTTCTGAAATTTTAAAATTTAAATACGTAGTAATAATTTTAATAGTGGTTATAGCTTTCTTGTAATATAATCTAGGCACCAACTTAATGTAAGTATTCATTTTTTTTACTCAATTAAAGGACGATCCTTAAATTCCATTTTATTTGCTCGTGAATGCAAAATCTACGCGTATATGTATAATAATTATGTTTCAATAATAATTTACAGTTTTAAATATATTAAATAAGGCAAAGCTATGTTAATGGGTAAAGTATTTTTTTTTCGTATTTCAAACACAATGATATTAAAGTGAAGATATTTCTTATTTAAATTCTAATTCAATAAGCATCCTATTTTAGTGCAACTTTTTTCATATACATACTTTAAACGGATAGACTAGTGTGAATGTATGTAATGCGACGTATGCTCGTGCAGTTACTGCAATAAAATTATAATAATTGTATATGGTATGAGAATTTCTACTTACCTTTACTTAATTCCTTCAATTTTAAATGACAGATTTGTTAAAGTACAAACTGCTAGACCTCTTTAACGCATTTCATTATAAAATTCACATTTTCATCTCTTCTAATAATTTAATACTTATACAATATTATTACTATAAACAATCCATGTAAATCCTTTTGCTGTTCGTATAATAATTTTCATAATCTTTAATTCTTGAGAAGACATTATTTAAGAGACCTTTAAATTTTTATTTCATTATAATGGCGCATGATAAATTTAACTCTGTTTTTGGTTCTTAAAATGTTCATTAACCTAAGAATAATATTTATTGTGCATGAATTAACTTATTTACAGTGAAATCTCGAAAAATTATATTTCAACATTACATTCGCGAAATATTTCAGGGAAGTTGGTTTTTTTGTTTTTGAAATTTAAGTATAACACTCGAATAAAATAATGATTTCTTTAATTTATAATTATTTACAAGTAGTCTGGAATGCGTTGTAGGGTTGGGAGTCTCATTTGTACGGGTTCTATTGTACGTAATTATGTAAATTGATAGCTATTAGAATAAATCTTCAATTTAAAGTCTTTTAAAATGGCATTAAAACAAATTGCTTGTAATTTTATTTTATTTTTTTTTAATGTTTTTTTTTATGTTTCATTTTTACTTTTACATTTACATCAATTTTTCCAACATATTCTTACAAAAAAAAAATGAAAACAAATGAAAAACAAAATGAAAAGAGAAAATTTTATTTTTTTTTTTTTCATCACAGACAAGATTACATTTTTATTTTTATTTTTAATATTTTTTTTACTCTTTAATAAAAGTTTTCCAATACAAAATTAAAATAGCCATTGCTGTCGCTCAATAAAATCTAAAGGATTAAAGAAATCAGGCGTTTCATAATTTATGATTTAAAACGATGCTTTATTAATAATGCTCTCCGAATGAAGACGATGATGTGAAAAATGAAAATATAAAATGAAAATTCGATTTTTTTTCATCCTTTTCATCCTCTTTTTCACATCTTGAATACATTGGAAAAGTTATCCTGCGCTTTAAATACAAAAAAGCACACAAAACGTTAAACAAAATTTTTTCATCTTATTTTCCAATATTTTCTAATAATAGATCTGATAAAATATTCATGGAAATAATTGAAAAAACGATTTTTTAAATTTCAAATTGGAATTAAAGAAAAAATTAAATAAGTGATCCTTAAAGGAGGAAGAGAAATTGTTAGTGTTTAATAAAAAAATAGGAAAAAAATTAAATGAAATTTTCAACATTTTAAAGTTGTTTTCTCTTTGTGTCACAATAAAAAGGTTGACTGTATTTTGTATAAGTTTAGTGAACAAATTGGAATTGTGTAATTTAATGGAATCATTACCAACCGCATTGCCTTCATGTTTTGACTTATTTTACAGACTGGGAAACTTTTGGGATATAGCAGGCCTTAGGAACTGGACCTTTCTGCGGACCAATGATACTTTTATGTGCATATAAAGAGAAATAATAACTTAATTTCTTTGAAATTCAAATTCAGAATTTGAAAACTTATTATAATTTATGCTGTTTTTTTTGGAAAGACCAGAGGGTGGAAACTGAACTATGGGTTGATTTTACATTTTTCATCGTATACCTATGGCACTAACTAATTGAATTAAAATTTTGCTTAAAAATTTAATATTTGAGTTCTGATTGTTACCGAAAACATCTGATGAAATCGGGGCACTTTTCAGTAAATTCCGGTGGTATAAAAACAAAACTCTATTAAGAGAATTTTTCGAAGTACATAAATTACTTCAAAGCTTACTAACTTCCTTTAAATAGGAAAGAAGTATTTAAAAGACACTTTCGTAATCTTCTGTAACAGTTTTGCTAAACTAGACAATACACATTGCATTTCAAACGTCAGATTTTTCCATTTCAATTGGAATTTTAAATTTTTTTCAATAGTTCATTCTACTTGAAAATTTTAAGATTACGAGTATAATAAGAGGCACACATGAAAATAATAAGTTTTTGGGAAATTATAATCATACTTGAAAATTTAATAATGATTTTCGAAAAAAAATTAAAAAAATGTAAAAGAAGTCTAATTGACATTTATTTGACACAATTGTTATATCAAATTTGGCATCCACTCTTTTATAAACTAAACTATTATCGTGATTATACAGGTGAATTTAAAACTAATAATTTATAATAATGAAATTGCTACTGTGTACAAAAATAATCTATATCACTTTAAATTATACATAAAAAAATAATTAATATTAAATAAATAATTTAAGTATTAAATACATACATATATAAAATTCGATATTTATAATTAAATTATTAAATAAAATTTATTATAAATGTATACTTAATAATTAATATATTTTAATTTTATAATTATAGAACTAATTAAAATTACAGCACAATTTAAAAATTATTTTTTATTTAATATTAAAAACTGACTATTGATTCCATTTACATTTATTTGGTATTGATTTATTTAAAATTATTATTTTTGTTTATAGTGTGTTACAAATATTTCTGTGGTTACAAGTGATAACTGCTGAAGTGGTTTTTTATTACAAATTTGAATTTTACATATTTGCACATTCTGAAAGAATTTGTGTGAAGGACAAGAAAAATTTTCAATCAGCCGGTATCGAACACGTGGGACGCGTATTGGACAGCACTGCATTAATCATTAATATACTAAAAATTAAGGCTTCAATAAAAATTGAAATTTTTTTCAAATTACATTAATTATGCACATATTTTTATTTTATAGTTTTGTAAATTATTATTATGTATTTTAATTCCTTATAATTATATAAATTCGGTTCAATAAATTAAAAATATACCATTTATACTTAAATTACTAACATACTGACAAAAATCGAAATCTTAAACATAAATATTTACATTGGCTTAAAATATAATTATCACTTAAGACTAAATTATAGAAAAGTTAATTAAATAAAATTAAGTGACTTAACAATGAGCATAGTCGCAAAAGCTAAAAGCAAAATTATCCATAGTTTATTTACAAATTTTTATATATGTATGTATATCGTACAAATATAGTATATATAACATTTCATTTTTCACTTTTTTCTTATTTCTCAAAATTCGCTTCCCACGATACTAAACACATATTTTTAAGCCCAACTAAATAATTATAAATTGACCAAATCTTCGAAATATAGCCTTCAGTTTTATTTATCGCGTAGTCAGTATATTGGGTTCAAAAGAATGACACGTTTTTCTCCTTTTGTTTTACTCGCTTAATTATGGAATCTTAAGCTTTAAAAGTCACTTGTCATTGGTAATCCTCACCAGTGTTTTTGTTTTACTATGCACGGTGTTTTAGAAATCAGAAGAAATTTTGTACATTCTTTTCATCCACAGAAAGGTTACGGAATAAAGCTAAAAATGTAAGATCCAATTTTAGATTTTTCCTTTCACATAAAAAATTTTGCAAATTTTCTTTCAAAACTTCACATACATGCATACATATGTATGTATGTACATTTCAAAGTACTGTTGCCGCTTGTATATTACCATAAACCTTTATTTAATACTTTATTAAATTTTCCATTTAAATTCTTCTTTTAATTCGTTATTGAGTCGTTCTCACCTTTTTGTTAAAAAAAATTTATTTAAATAAAATATTTATTTTAAAAATTTTTCATTTTCTATACAAATGTAACAGAACGCTTTTGTTTTTCAATATCTAAATCAGATTTTTTACTTTTTACTGTTATAACACTTGCATTTAAATCAGCTAATGGTATAACATTTGCTCTCTCTAACATGCTATCAATAATATAAAAATCACGTGTTCTTTTCTCTTGTTGATTTTTTTCATTTTCATGTTGTTCCTGTTGTAATTTTTGTAACTGTTTTTGTTCATTCTCTTCTATAAATTCTTCCTCTTTTTCCTCCTGTTGCTGTTGTTGTTGTTTTTCTTTATGTTAAACACGTTCAGTTTCAGTTGGTTGACTTGAAACATGTGTTAGTTCACCCATATTAACACTTTCACGTCTCAATGAATTATATGTTCTTTTACTACTCTGGTAAGTACCATTACGATGATGGTGTGAATTTATATCAGGAGCACAGCAAAGTTGACGAAAAACGCATATATAACATGCCAATAGGGATGACATTAATATGGAACCGATTACTACTGTTATTATTAAAAGTATACTAACTTCACCTTCCATTTCCTCTGAAGACATTTTGAATAATTTTTTGTATACCTAAATTGTAGAATTTACGAGTATGTGAATGTATATAGGTAAAATGTATAGTGGAACAAAATGATATTTAGTTTATTATGTAGGTAAATTTTTATATACAGTCAATTTTTGTATATGTGAATGAATTTGAATAAATTTGATGTGGTGAATTTAAAAGTAATAGGATGTTGAATTTCTCCTGTTAAATCAGAAATATCCTTATTGTTTTGGTGAATAAAAAAAAATTTTTTTTAGCTTATCTTCTGGTAGCAAATTGCAAAAATTTTTATTGGAATTTTTTATTTTTCGAATTTTTGTTTTTGTTTGTTTTCTTAATAGAGTTCTTCCCCCAGGATACGCAACTCAGTGGCAAATCAATAAAAAAAAATAAAATAAAAAATAAGTTGTGTGAAAAACCTTTAAATTAACTCGATAACGTTGCGTTGTTGTTGAAGTTGCCTGCAATGAAAATTAAAAGAAAAATTTGTGAACATTTTGTGAAAATTGTTTTATAAGAAAAAACAAATTATTCATTTTGTTTCGAAATTTATTTTTATTTTTCACACATATGAAATAAATTGTATGTCATATGTGTGTGTGTGTACACATGGGTACATAGGTTGTGTTCAGTTCAAATAAATTTCAGTTACAAAATTTTAATAATGTAAAAATAAATATTCAACTTTTATGTGAAACTTTTTTAAAAATAAGCAGCAGAGTTCTTATATAAATTAAAAAAATAAATGGTATGTAACGTTCAAAATGTTTGTAGCATTGCCTTGGGAACAAGTATTAAAATGAACTGCTCTATAAATGACATTCAAGGAAAATTTAGCAACATGTGTATTTATTATAAAGTCATAATTTAAATATTTAAATGCATATAGAATTGAACATAGTAGCGGTAACGTTGAAGCAAGACAACGATTCCGCTTGTTCCGAACAGCCATAGTTACTATAGAGTTAATTAGTCATAATTATTGTAGAAAGAATCAATTAAGAAATGAAGGAATTTCTGATTTCTTTAATTCTAGCTCGGTTTTACAATTCAGTTAAGGAATATTAACTTTTATAAATCAAATTTCCTCTTTGGAACTTTAATTGTACCAATATGACAATGGCATAGGTTCGACTCTAAACTTAATTTCGGCTGCATTTAAATTAAAACAACAAATCAATTAACTTTTAAGAAAATTGTATATCTAAATTAAAAATTCCTGTTATCTTTGTTAAAGCCAAAAATAAACCATATTATAGTTAATTACACATTAAAGTGACCCTTAAATACAAATTTATAAAAATTAAATTGAAGATTCATCAGTTCTCTTCAGTTTCTTTTCCTTTTTGTAGTGGTATCTCAATATGTAAGAGATATGAATAACTTCTTGAAGTTGTTATGACCCCATGCCTGGAATTATTTTATTTTTTTGGATTTCTATTGATTCTTCTTGCAGACTTCTATTCTAAAGTTGTTAGAGTAAGATTTTTGTTTGTTATAATAAAAAAAATCGTTAATTTTTATGACATTGATGAAGGATTTCTACATAGCAGGAATTTTAATAAGGCTTGTGTCGGACAGAACAGGAAATAATAAAATTATATTTAAAGGAATGAGATTCAATTTATTGATAACATCTTGCATACGTTTTACAAACAGTTTATTTAGGATTCTTTGTCTTAAAGAGCATTTTAACTTTAATTTCTAAAAATGCTGCTCTTTAAAATTTTCATTAATGCATCTTTTTAATTATGTGGTATACTTTAAAACGTTATAGGATTAATTCAAGTGCTTAACTTCCATAAATATTCATGACTTTGATTAAGTATTCTTAATTATAAAATGTCTTTGTTTATAAGAAAAAAAAAGAAAAGATCCTTAAAGTTTTTAAAGTTTTTCTTAAAAATTTTCAATTGAGAAGTATTTCGTCTCTTTCAGGGTGTCTGAATTTATGTGCGGGTATGTGTGAAGCATTTGTATTTTCTTATGTGTAATTGTGTTTTAGGCAAAATATTATTCAACTTTGTTGTTCGTACGGTGATGATTATAGTTAAAGGCAGCTCTGGCAGTTTTGTATTTGAAAACACTGAATAGGAAAAGGTTTTGCTTCGTACATCTTCATTTTAAGAATTTAATATTATATTTTGCTCTTTCAGACTGAATTTTCTTCAGATTCAGGTAACATTAAAAGTTCAATAGGTTTTTATTAAAATTTAAAGTTATCACCCGTCAGCTAAAGTTATCGTCGTCAGCTTAATAAACAATGATTTTACTTTACCAATTTCTCTTAAAACAAACTCGTTGCTTTTAAAGCCTCAACTATGATTTGAAATGCAAACTTGAAATCTTTGTCCGACATTTTATATATGAAACAAAACATATTTCAGTAATATCAACGCAATTTGCATCAAATCGTATTAAACCAATTATAAGATACTCGTTAGGGCTTGTTTTTAGCACTTTTCCAAAAAATTTTTGAAAAAAAGTGCTTATTAGTTTCACTCTGTCCGTCCGTCCGTCCGTCCGTCCGTCCGTCCGTCCGACCGTCCGTCCGTCCGTCCGTCCGTCCGTCCGTGAACACTTTTTTTGTTTACAAAACTTCTACAGCCTTTAAGATAGAAAGCTGAAATTTCATACGTACATAGATCTTAACTAGAAACTTATTTCCGTAGAACAAAATTTTTACCTATCTCCCTCCCTCTAGAAGTTATACCCCCCCAAAACCCTAAAAATGGCCTTTTTTAACTATTTGTTCCAATGAAACCATAAGCATTTTTGAAATTTTTCAAACGCAGAAAGACAGTGGCTTGCTTCCCCTAGCGCGATATACTATAGTTAAACTTTAGAAAAACAAAATGGCCGTTCAAATTTACCGTTATCTAAAGTCCTTTTTTTCCAAATTTTTGATGTCATTTTTCTTCTAGACCCCAGCCTGTAGGAGCTTGAAATTTTAGGAGCTTTTAGACATTAACAAATAGTTCATTTCGTTAGAAGAAAATTTTTTTCCATCTCCACCCCCTCTCAAGTTATCACCTCTTGAAATTCGTAAAATTTGAATTTTTGACTTCTTATATTTCCGAAACCGCAAGCTTTTCCAAATTTTTATAAACGCAAAAAGCTAACGGTAAATTCCATGAAATTAAAAAATATAATTATTTTTCTTATCTCACACAATTAACCCTTAAAATCGAGCATTATATTAACCCCATTTTATATTAATTTTTGCTTTATTTCAAACATTTCATATATGCGTCATCCTAAATATATGCAATTCTAGAAATAGTTTTGTATATGAATGAAAATAATTTTAATAGTTTGATAGGTATACATAGACTGTATATAAAAGCAGAATTTTCAGTTTGTTGAAGGGAAAAGTGCTACAATACAAACCATTGGTTTGACCCAACTTTATTCTTTTTGGGTATGACTAGACTGCTATTGGTTCGTTTAGTAATTTGATATTTCAATATTTCCTTATTTGCATTCAAGTCAACATTACTATCAGTAAGCTCAACCTCCAGTACTAGTAAAATGCCGCTTTGTTTTATTATTTTTTCTTTATCTCATATTTTAGTATTTTAATTTTGTCATTTAAATTTGTTTAATTATTACCTAATTACAAGGAATCCCGATGGTATGCGACTGTCAACCTCATATTTATGATGGAATATTTTGAATAATGGAATATTCCTCAATAATAGAATATTCTCAAGAATAAGACTAACATCTTTCTTGCAACTTTTTCTCTGCAATACTCTGAATTTAATTTTTAGAATTGAGATTATAGAAACTCAGTGGTTAATTTTTAGCACTTTTCCAAAAAAATTTTTGAAAAAAGTGCTTATTAGTTTCACTCTGTCCGTCCGTCCGTCCGTCCGTCCGTCCGTCCGTCCGTGGACACTTTTTTTGTTTACAAAAGTTCTACACCCTTGAAGATAGAAAGCTGAAATTTCATACGTACATAGATCTTCACTAGAAACTTATTTCCATAGAATAAAATTTTTACCTATCTCCCCCCCTCTAGAAGTTATACCCCCCCAAAACCCTAAAAATGGCCTTTTTTAAATATTTGTTACAATGAAACCATAAGCATTTTTGAAATTTTGCAAACGCAGAAAGGCAGTGGCTTGCTTCCCCTAGCGCGGTATACTATAGTTAAACTTTAGAAAAACAAAATGGCCGTTCAAATTTACCGTAATCTAAAGGTCTTTTTTTACAAATTTTTGATCTCGTTTTTCTTCTAGACCCCAGTCTGTAGAAGATTAAAATTTTAGGGACTTTTAGACCTTATCAAATAGTTTATTTCGTTAGAAGAAATCTCCATTTTTTTCCATCTCCACCCCCTCTCAAGTTATCGCCTCTTGAAATTCGTAAAATTTGAATTTTTGACACCTTATATTTCCGAAACCGCAAGCTTTTTCAAATTTCTATAAACACAAAAAGCTAACGGTAAATTCCATAACATTAAAAAATATAATTATTTTTCTTAACTCACACAATTAAACCTTAAAATCGAGCATTATGTTAACCCCTTTTTATATTAATTTTCGCTTTATTTCAAAGACGGCATATATGCGTCATCCTAAATATAGGCAATCCTAGAAATAGTTTTATATATAAATGAAAATAATTTTAATAGTGTGGTAGGTGCACATAGATTGTATTTAAAAGCAGAATTTTCACTTGTTGAAGGGAAAAGTGCTACAATACAAACCATTGGTTTGACCCAACTTTATTTATTTAGAATTTTAGCACCATTAGAAATACATTATAGGACATGGTTGTGTAAATGAAATTAAAAATTATTGAAATCCCATAAAAAGTTATCGTTCATTTACACTGTCTTTATATTTGAGTAAATTTACTAACAAAATTTTTTCACTCCAAGATTTTTTAAATGAGAATACGCCGCCGCTTTGATTAAAGTTTGTTTTCTTGATTGGTTTGATAAAAGAGAAAAAAAATTGTTTGCTTTTACTATAAAAGTTTTTATTTACTCTACTTTTTATTAAGATAAGAAAAAATAAATTGTCTAACGCAAATTTTCTCAAGAGTTCTTTTTATTATTTATGATTAAAGTGTAATTACCCTCGTTTCTAAGTGTCAATATTTGCTAACATGTCTAATGCTTTAACATCCTTTTGATTATCCTTCTATAACTTACTTTTCAACACATTCTCTTTCCAATTCTCTTTCTCGCACTCTCATTCTTCATAAAATAATTTTTTCTTTCCGAATCGTGAATAATTGAAATCTACGTGGATTTTAATTCAGCAACAGGTTTTATTGATTTACAATCAAAGACCATCATTTTTAAACTTTAAAATATTATGTAAGAGAATTCCAAAAAAAAATAAAATAAAAGGTGTAAAAGAAAGTTGTCTGCGGCATTAAAAAATTCAAATTTAATCGAGTTGCCCTTTTTTATTTTGTTTGAGGGTTTAATTTTACGG